CTGTGTCTTGTCATCTCTGATTGAGTGTTCAACAGTGTGGTCTGGTCTGGATGCTCTGAAGGGTTTCGAGAAGACAGCTGAGAACCCAAGCGTCCAGACCAAGGGCCCAGAAGAGACAGGTCATGAATAGAGGATGTACTTGGATTGACTGAAGAAAAGAAAATCGGATAACTCATGAGTCAAAGAAGAAATCACAAGGGAAGTCAGAAAATATTCAGAACCAAATAATAATGAGAAGATGATTTATAAAACCTTATGGGATACAGCTAAAGCAGAACATAGAGGGAAATGGATAACCTTAAATGGTTATTTTAGGAAAGAAGAAAGGCTGTATTTTAATGAGCTAAGAATCTGAAGTAAGAGCTAGGGAGACAGCAACACGTTGAGGGCTGGAACTGAACCAAGCTCGTGGAAAGGATGGCAGACAAGAGATATGAGGATTCCAGCAGGTTTCAAAGGGACTGGGCTGTCTGAGGCTTAAATTTTTAGAATCCAGCTCTCTCTGAGCTTCCTGTGAGCTCTGGCTTTGATTCTCTAAGTTGGTGGCCTTCCTTCAGTGGCTGAGTTTCTGATTAAAATTAATTTTATCTATTTTTTTCTTTTTAGTTTTAAAAATGTGGCTGTTAGAAGATTAAAAATGACACATGTCTTGCATTATATTTCTACTGGACAGTGATGTCCTGGATACACTTAGAAGGTGGAGCCCACAGGATTTGCTGGTGGATTGCAGAGAGGCATTGAGGGTGACTCCCAAACTTTCAGGCTGAACAGCCAGACGGTTGGAATTGACATTAGCTAAGACGAGGAAGGCTGTAGGTTTGGTGTATGTTGGGTGAATTATGGGTCTAGTTTTGCATNTGTGTGTGTGTGTGTGTGTGTGAGAGAGAGAGAGAGAGAGAGAGAGAGACAGAGAGAGACAGAGAGAGACAGAGAGAGACAGAGAGAGACAGAGTTGGGAGGGGGACTTGTCCTGCGAGACTCTCAGGTTCCCTCCAGTTGAAAGGTGGACCAGAAAGGGGGATACACTTGGCCTGGGTCACACAGCCAGGGCGGTGCAGCCCTACAGGCAGTCTGCCTCTTCCCTACCAGCTGTCCCTCCCAGTCTAAGAAGAGCTCCTAGCAACCCGGGTGCCGCGGGAGGGATCGCCCGGACAGGAGGGACTTGGCTGGCCGGGCCGATGGGCGGGACCGAGAGCGGGGAGGGGTCAGGCGGGGGCGGGGCTGAGCGCTGGAGCCGCCCCGGCCAGGACCTAGCCGTGCGTGTTGCCTCCGACAGTGCGGAGGAATCCGGACCCTGCGGCCCCGAGGTGAGTGCTCCAGAGCCCAGCTCCCCCAGGACTGAGTCCCACCCCCAGGACTCAGACACCTGGCTTCAGAGCCGTCCTGGCCAGTGGGCTTAGGGAGAGGCTGCCTCGGTTTCTCCTTGGGGGGTCCGGGGATCTAGATGGGAGGTAGACGGAAAGGGGGCGTCTCGAGGTTGGGGAGCCCCCTGGAGGCCTGTGACTACAGAAGCTGAGAAGGCTTGGGGGCGTTTCTGGGCCCCAGGAGCCTTTGAGGTCGGGAGAGAGGCAGTGATTTGGAGGCGGTGCGGAGTGTGGAGGGAGAACCAGTTAGATGAGAAGTCCCGACCGAGGCACTAGGCTGACCTGGGAATGAGGCCAGGCTCCAGGTCTCAGAGGGGCCTGTTCTCTGAGTCCCTTCCTCTCTGCGGGCCTCAGTTTGCCCGTCTTCACCATGCCTGTGAATGGGTGGGTGCCAGTGACAGAGGACCTGGATGGTGGCTCACACGTCCTGCAGCCTTGTGACTCTTATGGGAATCTCCGGCCTCCTCCGCCTTGGATGGCTCACCCCCATCCCTACCAGACAGGCCCATATCAGGGCCTGGCCAGCACCACATCCTCTGTGTCATTGGCCTTCTCCTTTGCTCCTCATGTTGGGGGCCAGCTATCTGGTCCTACTTGCTTTCCAGCACTGAAAAGCCCCCCAGGTCCCCTCAGGGCGGGCCTCCCACAGCTGGATCACTGGCTCTGAATTGGCCCTGGTTTCTCTCCCTCTTCCTGAGCCCTTGGGCTTCTCCCTGTCATGGCGTTGGTCTCCCCATGGGCTGTTCCCTGGTCACAGGGTCCTTGTTCCATGGAGGGGGAAAGCCTGCCATGTCACCCATCCCTTGATCCCTTGATGAAGACCAGAGTGACATTTCCATTGCCTCTGCTCTCCGGCCCGTAAGTTTGTCAGCCATTCAAGTCCCCTTTGCCAATCTGAGGCTGGAAGGGACCCCATCTAGCTCCGTGCCTCCCACCCAGTGCAGGAGCCCTCTGCTGTGTATGCTCAGTGATGTTGAACTCGTTACTTACGAGGTGCTGTTCAGCAGCCTGCAGCTTTTGTTTCATTTAGCTAAAACCTGTGGCTTGCAGATTCCATCCTTTAGTTCTACTTCTGCCTCCTGGAGCCAAACAAAGTAAATTTATTCTATTATTCATTCAAACAATCTTTATGAATGCACTGGCTGAGACACTGGGGCTACAGCAATGAACAAAACCATGCAAAACGTCCTGCCCTCATGGGGTTCGTATTCTAGAGATGAGTCCAATAAGTGAATCCATAATACGTCAGGTGGTGAGAAGTAAAGCAGGTGAGGGGGCTGAGGTGTTGGGGCTGGTACTGCAATTTTATAGAGCATAGTCAGGGATGGCCTCTCTGAGATGGTGACAACTGAGCAAGGCCTTGAAGGAGGTGGAGGGTGGTAAGCTTTGTGAACATCTGGGGGAAAGGACAGTGCACCCTCCTAGGGACGAGCACGTGCAGAGGCCCTCAGGCAGAAGCATGACAGGCAGGAGTCTTCCTCTAGGAACAAGGCTGGGGGACGGTGTGGCTGGAGCAGGGTGGGTGAAGAACTGGTAGGGGACAAGTGGGAAAGAAATACAGAGAGGTACGGGCTGGGAGGCAGGACTGGACTTAGAAGGCCCCTGGGAGGGCTTTGGTTTTCCCTTTGAGTGCCAAGGGAGCCACCGGAGGGCTTTGAGCAGAGGAATCACCTGCTCTGACTTGGGGGTGAGCAGGTTCACCTGGCTGTGGACGGGAGAATAGGCTATAGGGGGTGAGAGCAGAAGGGGGGGCCGGTGAGGGGACCACTGCTGTCATTCTGGGCAGAGGCCATGGGGGCTCATACTCATGGCATAGAGGTGGTGAAAAATATTAGATTTGGGATATATTTTGAAGGTAGTAGGGTGGATAGGAATAGGGGTGCAAGAGGAATGGGGGGTCAAGGATGACAGGGGGTGGAGGGTGGGGTTTGGCCTGAATATCTGGAAGTTTGGAGCTGCCATTGACTGAGATGGGAGCTGTTTAGGGGGAAGATTTGGAGTTTGGTCTGGTGCTTGTTAAGTTTGAGATACCCATTAGCATCCACGTGAAGATGTCCGGTAGGCAATCGGGAAAAGTGCCGTACAGAGGTTGGAGGTGGAAATAAAATTTTGGATGACATCACCACATACGTGGTATTTAAAGCTGTGAGAGCCAGTGAGTTCACTTAGGGCGAGAGTGATATGGAGAACAGAAGTCCAACCAGGGAGCCCTGGGGCTCCCGGCATCAGGAACCAGCCAAGGAGACAGAAAGAGCAGCCAGTGAGATGGGAGGAGAGGCTGGAGAGTGAGGGTGTCCTGGAGGTAATGAGGGAGGTGCTTCAAGGAGGAGGGAGGGAGGGAGTGATGCAGACAGATGCCTTTGACAGAGCAAACAAGGTGAAGGCTGACAATCAAGCAATGCGGAGGTGACTGTGACAGAAGCAACTGGGGGTTAGGAAAGGGCTGGGAGGAGAAGACTTGGGGACAGCAGTACAGACAGCAGACAAGGAGTCCTGCTGTGAAGGGGAACAGAAAAATGGGATTGGAGCCAGAGGGAAGTGGGTGTGGAGAGAGGGCTTTGCTTCTGGGATGAAGTTACAGTCTGTTTGTGTGCTGGTGGGAAGCACTCTCCTGGAGAGCAGCCTGGCGAAGGGGCCAGAATGGAGGATGGCTGCGAGGGCCGAGAGGGATGGACTCAGTGCCCCAGGGGGAGCTTGGCCCCAACGGAGAGCCAGGATGGTTCAAAAGCTGGGGTTCCTGGAGCCTCCCTCCTTCTCCTGTCTGCAGGGAGGGGCCCAGCAGGCTGAGATTTCAGCTGAAGGGTGCCCCAGACTCAGTGCGCTCAGGAAGGGCCCTGCTTTCTCAAAGCCTGTCCCCTGGTGGATGACCTCATCTGTGGGGGTGTCTCAGGTCCCCATGGGGTCTCCCACAAGGCTTTGTGTCAGTATTGCCAAGAGTTACCTAGTTCTGGGCAGCTGGTTGGCCAACTCTGGCTTCCAGCTCGTCCTTTTGGAGTTTCCCCGGGCAGATCTGGGCCTGTCAGTCCTGTGTCACTTGGCCTGGCCTTTCCTGCCCCAGGTCTGCCTGAGATGACTTGCCAGGCCTGCTCCACCAAGCCTGATGAGCTCTGATGAGGGAGAGGGTAGTCCAGGCTCCCCGGACGTACAGGGGAGTACAGCTGTCCACCCTTAGGCATCCTGTGGGTGACAGGAGCAGGCATTGTCCTGTCTCTGCTTTTCAACTTCGTTCATTCCTGGCCGCCCACGTGCCCTGCATGTATTGGGTCAGAGGGAGAGCACTGACTGCACTTCTGGGCCGTTCCACGAGGGACGGGTGGGAAGTTCTTTTCCCGAGGATCTGGGCATGGGTGCTGGGGGTGCTGGCGTTTCCACAGCTGAGAACCCCTCCAGGGCCAAGCCCAGAGCTCTCCTACCCCTTGCTATTCTCCCCTTCCCTCCTCCCCACCTCTACCCCGTCAACGCCTCTGTTTGGCAGTGAGCACAGTGGGGAGGCCTGCTTGGCCAGAGACAACTGTTTTAGCTCCTGATTTACTGCAGCCTCTGTACTGGGGATGCTCTCCTTCCTAAGCAGCCAGACACACAGGCAGCCTCGCTGCCTCAGTTTCCTCATTGCGCTGACACCAGGCTCCAGCCTAAGTGTCGGCAGCGTTCTGAGTTGAAGATTTCCCCTTCCCCTTATCTTGGCTGCTGTATGAAGACAGGCACAGAATGTTCCAGCCCCTCTCCTCCTTCCGTGGATTGTTTATTCATGAGCATCCCCACTGTGCCTCTCCAGGGCCCCGCCAGGTGCCAAGCTTAGAGATGCCAGGGTGAGTAAGACTCAGGCTTCAACTTGGGTCAAGAAGGGAGGGAGACATGTAAACAACCAGTCGGAAAGTTGCAAAATCCCCCAGCTCCTTGGCGTCTGCTCCTTTGAGTGCCTGGGAATGTCCCCGTTTTATAAAAGGAAGCAGACATGCCTCTTCTTTTTCCATGCCTACATCCTTTCACTTTCATTTTCTCTGGGCACTGCACCAGCCCTTGCTCCAGGACCCTGTGACAATCGCAGACCCCACTCTGATGAGAGATGCTCTCTGCTGCTTGGGGACCCTCCTAGGGCTTGAAGCTCTGAGAGACCTCGTCCCCTCACTTCCCAGAACCCAGAGGCTGAGGGCTGAGTCCAGAGCAAGCCCTGGACAGAAGTGACAGCATGTGATGTGCGGTGGTAAGGGAGTGGAAGGGCGGTGAGGGCCAGGGGCAGAGAGGAAGCTGGCAGTACTTCCCATGAACTTTGGAACTACTTAGTTTCCACCATGCGTTTCGTTTTGCCTGGGTTGAGCTCTTTATAGCATCATTCTGGGTCTGCCCCTTGGGATAGCAGAGGGTTACCCACACAGGCACGGGCTCGAGGCCCCTGTGGGGAACCCAAATATATCGGAATGAAAGGCATACTTCCGGAGTTGCATTGCTTGGGTTCAAATCCTAGCTCCACCTCCTCTAGCTGTGAACCCTTGTACAGGTCCCCTAGCCTCCCTGTGCCTCAGGCTTTTCACCTGTAAAAAGGGGCTGACCGTAGCATCTACCTCAGAGTGCTTGGGAGGGTAAATGAATTCACACAGGAGAGCACTTAGAATGGTGCCTGGCATTTTGGATGAGATTAATGAACATGAGCTATCGGAGAGAGAGCTGCTGTGGCCGGAATCCAGCCAGCATGAAAGCGCCCTGTCCCACTGCCTCAAAGAGAACTCCCGGGTCCCTTGGGAGACATTGCTCTTAATATTAGCTCAAACGCTTTGAACCTTCTTAAGCCGGGGATGAAGCCGGATATGGGAACCAGAGATCTTGATTTAACTCCTGCTTGCTTCAAACGCTCAGTGAGAACTTGAGCCACTTTCATGCTTTCTCTGGGCCTCAGTTTGCACGTCTGTTCCATGGAGAGCTTGGACCTGGGGTAGAGCTGACTGGCCACCCCACTGCCTCCCCCTCCCCCATCCCTGTTTCTGGAGAAGTCATGCCCTGACCTCACTCTCCTCCCCAGGTTGTGAAATGTGCACGCAGGAGGCTTTCCAGGCGCAGAGGAGTCAGCTGGTGGAGCTGCTGGTCTCGGGGTCCCTGGAGGGCTTTGAGAGTGTCCTGGACTGGCTGCTGTCCTGGGAAGTTCTTTCCTGGGAAGACTATGAGGGCCTCAGCCTCCTGGGCCAGCCCCTCTCCCACTTGGCCAGGCGTCTTCTGGACACTGTGTGGAGGAAGGGTGCCTGGGGCTGTGAACAACTCATCGCAGCTGTGCAGGAGGCCCGGGCCGACAGCCAGTCCCCCAAGCTATGTGACCACTGGGACCCCCACTCACCACACTCAGCCCAGGACCTGCAGAGTCACCGGCCAGCCATTGTCAGGAGACTCTACAGCCACGTGGAGGGTGTGCTGGACTTGGCAAAGGAGCGGGGTTTCATCAGCCCATATGAGTGTGATGAAATCAGGCTGCCCATCTTCACGTCATCCCAGCGGGTAAGGTACTTCCGTCTTGTGTCATCAGAGTTCACAGAAAAGGGGTGCTGCTTCGTCGCCAGAGCTACTTTGTCTTCATGAAGTCGGTCCTCTGGGGAGACATGAGCCATGGGATGCCCCCCAAAGGTAGCCAGGCGGGTCAGAGTTGCTCTGGGTTTTGGTATCACACCACTTCTAAAGAGAGGAAGTGTTGCCCAGTGGCCAAGGGCAGATTCCCCAAGAATCACGCAGGCTCGTACTGGCTCTGTGTGTCTGTGGGCCTCTTCATGGAAACTCTCCATCCCTAATCTCTCCTGCCTCATCTGTAAAGGCGCAGTCAAGTTCTTGGGTGAATTCAATGAGCTGATTTGTGTAACACTTAGAACAGTGTCAAGCACGTACTAAGCACCCATTCACATACCATTGGCTGCTGTCAGTTCTGTTGTTATGACATTTTATACTGTACAATTTTATTGCTGTCTGTTTTCAATGAACAGCTCAACAGATCATAAATATTCATTAAATTAAATCTGCATTTAATAACATAGCACACTGTGTGCTAATATAGTTTAAATGCCCACGTAGGATTTCTGATATGAAATTGCATTGCGTCATAGACGCTCGGAGTAAGAATATAAGTGCCTTCAAAAATGCCATTCCAGGGGTTAGCTGAATGGCTCAGTTGGTTAAGAGCTTGCTCAAGAGTGTGAGCTCTGAGCAACAGCGGTTCGAGTCCTGGCCCGAGCTGAGCAGCCGCTGAGCTGCCAACAGGTGGCAGGATGGCTCAGCTAAAAAAAAAAAAATGCCATTCCACAAGAACGCAAAGGTATCTACTGGACATTTTTGAAACTCTCTCTCTTATTCCCCCCTGCAAACAGTGACTCTCGGGCTTCTTTTCATGCAGATGGAATAGTCATTAACATCCCATTGTATAGATTGGGAAATTGAGGCCCAGAAAAGTGGTTTGAGTGAGCGCACAGTCGTTAAGGAGAGGGCCAGTGCTGGGACTAGGGCCTTGACTCTTTCATTCATCATTAATTTATTCATTCATTTATTCAGCCAGAATCTATTTAGATGCCCACTACGTGCCAGGCTCTGTCTTAAAGCTTATTGTGCTCAGATGCCTTGCACATAGTAGGCACTCAATAAGTATTTGCTGATGAAATACATGAATTATTGAATGAATGAATTTGAAGTACATTGCAGTGTTAGGATGGGCTGGCTTGGGGGACTTTCTAGTTTTTATTTTTGTCTATTTTATAAAAAAATGTACTTGGTGTCAAGTGAGTTTAGGTAAACCTAGGTTGAGTCTGGTGGAATAAACCAGTCTGTCTTCAAGGCTGTTTCAAAGCTGGCTCAAGGTGACCAAGTACCTACAGAGCAGACATGATGTGGTCCTCTCTTATTAGTGCTCATGAAACCTACAGTTGTTCGCCGAGCACCGTCTCCTTGAGCCTGGACCTGTGGGGATTGCACAAGATAGGTTGGTTATTGTACCTACCTTGGTCTTTTGTGATCTGTTGGGGTATTGAATCGGCCCATAGGGGAAGTTACAAGTCTGTGTCTTGTCATCTCTGATTGAGTGTTCAACAGTGTGGTCTGGTCTGGATGCTCTGAAGGGTTTCGAGAAGACAGCTGAGAACCCAAGCGTCC